TTAGCTTCTCTCAATTGGCTCCCTGTGAAATTTAGAATCCTTATTTCTATTATACAAAGCTCTGAACAAGCAAGCCTGATCCTCCTTATGTTAAAAATAGTTTTGTTTCATATTTTTGTAACAGAGCTCTCTGCTCCCAGACTACAGGTTTATGTGTGTTTCCTAGAGTTTCTAAAAGTAGAATGGGAAGTAGATCTTTCAGTTCTCAGGCTCCTCTCTTGTGGAACCAACTTCCAGTTTCTGTCTGTTCGGACCGGGTGGGGCCCACACAGCAGGTGGGCGTGGACTAAATTTTTTCAGTGCTTATGCTCTGCATAACGGGATAAACCCATCAGCGACAGCCTTAAAGGGCGAAGCCTATATGACATAGAACTGACACTCTGTCTACGTTTAAGACTAGGCTTGAGACTTTCCTTTCTGATAATTCCTATAATTAGAGTTTGGATGGGTTTCCTGAGCTATCCCTTATTTTTGCTGCTTTAGGCTTTGACTTCTGGAGAACAAATTGACCACATTTCCTCACGTTTATGCTGTTTGTACTCACTCTATAGTTCGTGTTTGTATTTGCAATTATTTTTTTTAATTAAAATAGTTTTCTTCGTCTTTCTCTCCATAGTATGTGTTAACAAGCCATTTTGTGTCTTAGTGTCTGTATTCCTTTCATGTCCTCTCTATGTATGCCCTGCTTGTTGAGACAGATGCTTGCCAATCTTGAGCCCAGTTCTGTTGGAGGTTTCTTCCATTTAAAAGTGGGGTTTTGATTGCATCATCACCTGTGTGCTTGCTCAGAATAAGAGGCAGCCAAAAAGTGAATCTTCAACACAATCTGCTGGCTTCCTCAGAAAGATAATTTCTACTAATTGGCGTTTTTAATGTAAGTGAATGTTTTAGTACAGTGCCCTGAATTGTTGTGAATTGGAGCTATGTACTGTAAGTAAACTACATTTAGTTTAATTAATTAGGTGGGAGACAAAGAAAAAGAATACAGATATGTAGAAGACACAGACTCAAGAAGTCTTTCGGATGAAAGACAAAACATTTCTACATTTTTTTTTGTTTATTTGTTTGTTTGTTTTGCTTTGTTTTGTTTTTTGAATGTCCAGAGGCCAGACATAACTTTTTAGATTTTTCTACCTGGATTATTGAGCATGCATCAGGAAATACAGATGTGCTTTAGTTGCTTCTTAAAAAAAACTCCCAAATTCTCTGACTGTGAAATCTGGAATTTGTTAGATTTAGGCTTGGAAAATAAACTTTTTGGTCTCTTCAAAATATAAATCCATCTGCACCAAAGCAATGATTGCTTTTTTTTTTTTTTTGCTTTTTTTTTTTTTAGTTTTTTTTACATTTAACAGTTAGACAGGGCTTATTTTTCTTTTTATTTCATCTGCTTCTATTAGGGGTCTCCACAGTGGGTGATCCACCATCTCACCCTCTTCCAAAGTTTCACAGCACTGCACTTCCTCTCCTGGCCCCCAGTCCTCAGCTTTCTTTAGAACTACAAAGACAAAGTGCAGCTTCTTCTGACATTTTCTATCCTTCTCCATTAGCAATCTCTGTAGATACATCACTCTTTCCCAGCATGAAATCAAAATGGTGTTCCCTGATTATTACTTCTTAACCTGCCTTCAGCTACTCTTGAACATGTCTTCATAATATAGCTCATTAACTTTACAGCTGCGCTTTTATTTCCTAAGGCAAACTAATGTCTTTTCCATCACTGGATGACTTTTTATGAAAGTTTAAAACATACTGATATTTTCTAAAAAGAAAGTGGCCTAAGTCAATGATGCCAGAGTTTTTGCCTTTGTATTAATTGACAAAAAAGTAGCAGAAAATGTTTTGTTTGTTTTTTTCCACTGGCAACACGCTTGTGACTCAGTGAAGGGTTGTGGTCAGACTGAAGGGAGAGAGGGAGGAAAAGAAAAGTCTTTATTGGAGCAAAGAACTGCTGACATGCTGACCACATACTGCTGAGAGCTTGGCCAAAAAGTAAAAATGTTCTCGAAGGCAGTTTCAGAGAAAATATTTAAAGATTTATCATCTTTCAGAAATAAAATATATAAAATTTCTTTAAAGATATTTAAAAATGTTACCTGAACAATGAGCTCTCAACTGTCAGACGTGGACTTTTTGGGTGGAAAAATAAATTGCACATAGAAGCTGTTTGTCTTCAGGACTATTTCAGAATCAGAATAAACTTTATTATCATTGCACTGAGATACAACGAGAACATGTACGTACAGTCATCCGAAAGATGGGCAGAGTGCACGAAGCTGCTACTATAAAAAGCGCGGCCCTCTTATTCTTATTTAGAATAATATTTTGCTTAGATGAGAAAAGGGAAGAAAACATGAGGTGAGACAACGTGTGTTTTCTGACGAGGAAAGAGGCAAGAAGGGACGGTGGAGAGTTGGAGGTAACCAGGAAAACCTGGAGTGGAGTTTTAGTGGTTTGAGTATTCTCTTATTAATCAAGTGGAATGGATTCGTTCACAAAGAAAGAGAAACTGAACTAATGTTTTATAGTGAAAGTGTATTGGGGGGGGGGTCCAAATGAAAGTTTTTTTAATGTGGGGGGGGGACTTGTCCCCTTCACATATAATGGTTGCGACACCTATGCCATGACTTATGATCCCGTTGTCCAGCTGAAGCTTAACAGGACTTTTTTTTTACCTCTTTTAACCGGCCGGTCAGACCTGCCTCCTCCTCAACAAGTAGATTAACAGAATTTTATATTGTGCATTCTTATTATTTTTCTTTGTGCTGTATGATTCGTAAAACTGCATCAACAGCCTAAGACCGACCCAGCCCGCCCATCAAGCACATTATTTTATTTTATAGTCTGAATTTCAGGTTGGACTGGGCCAGGTCTGGGCTCAGGTCTGAAATTGCTGCTCTAATTGTCACTCATAAGAACTACATTGCCCTTAAGTCAATGCTGTACCGCTGTTTTCTGCCTAACGGTATTTTTGCAAAGCGAAGTCATGACTGCTGAACCAGCCTTTCAAACGTAAAATTTAATTAATTTCACATTCATTCATGTCTGGAAAAGGTTTTTTAAGAAAATTCAACTTTACAAATGTAAGCTTCGCAGGAAAGTGTAAATCATGTAGGACGTCTCTTTAAGAAACAGAGCATTGCTTTTAGTAACCTGGCCGCTGATTGGCTGCTACCGTCTGTTTGCCTTCACTCTTTTTCAACTAAACTTCAAGTGTTACTACTGCGTTATGGTTTCTAAACGTTCTGTACGTTCAAAAGTTTATGGCAACAAACCAAAATGGCAAAAATGTTTTGTAACCAAAATGCTTAGTAACCCGGGTGCTGATTGGCTCAGTTCCCATCTGTTTACCTGCACTATTTTACAAATGGACTTCAACTGGACTTCTTACAGCTGTGCGTTCAAAAGGTTCTGGTGGCGAACCGAAACTCCAGTGGAAGATGCTG